GAGTGTGAGAGTGAGTGAGTGTGAGAGTGAGTGAGTGTGAGAGTGAGAGTGAGTGTGAGACTTTTGCTGACAAACACGAATATGCTTGAAGTGAACGCAGCTCTACCTACAGACACGGCTATGTTTTACAATAGAGATAGTAGGAACTGCCGATGCTGGAGTCTGAGATAACAAGGGATAGGTGGGATTAGAGATATCTTTTCTCCCACTTATCCTCTCCTCCCACCTCACTAACCAACCCCCACCCCCTTCCTACCTACTAGCCTCATCCCCGCCTCCTTGACCTGTCCGTCTTCCCTCTCTCCTCACTGAGCAACCTCCATCCCAACTCCCTACCTACACTCACCTTTACTGGCTTCATCCCCACCTCCTTGACCTGTCCGTCTTCTCTCCACCTATCTGCTCCTCTATCCACCTTTTATCATCGCCTCCCACTCTATTTATTTCAGAGCCCCCTTCCCCTTCCCCTCCCCCATTTCTGAAGAAGGGTCCAGACCCTAAACATCAGCTTTCCTGCTCCTCTGATGCTGCCTGGCCTGCTGTATTCATCCATGTTATCTGTTTTACAATAGTTACTTTTGTACCAAAGTACAACAGGAGGAAACAAACAGCTACAAAAGGAACAATCCTGTAAAATGATTGGTGTGTTAAAGAATGAATGGGGAGACAGTAGGAAGTGATGTCAGTAAGATGATCATTACTTTTAAAATAAACCAATCAGGAATTGGCCATAGAATATCTAGCCAATCAAAACCTGACCATCAAGCCAGTTAGAGTTGTGTGCCTGATCATACACAGGGGCTATTAGTTAGCAAGAGCTAATGAGGACAGGGGTTTGATGCAGAAGAACAAAGTGACAACAGAAGTAGTACGTCAAATTGACAGAACAGGAGTCTGGTGCCCAGCCAAGCAGCATCCCAAACTGAACTGGCTGGGGTGGCATGGTGAGAGTACTTAACACTACTGCCTCACAGCACCAGGGACCCACGTTTGATTCCAGCCATGGGCGACTGTCTGTGTGGAGCGTGCATGCTTTCCTCTAGATGCTTGGTTTTCCTCCCACCACCCAAAGATGTGCAGATCGGATGGATTGGCCATGCTCAATTGACCTGAAGCATCCAGGAGTGTCGTGTCGTGTCGTGCAGTGTACTGCAGTGCGGGTGCGGGTGCGGGTGTATGCTCTGTGAAGTTTGGTGCAGACTCAAATAGGCCAAATGGTCTCTATCTGCACTGCAGGGATTCTATGATTCTGATTGTAAACCTAATGCTTTGAGGCTGAAGGGATAGAAAGGACTTTTAGAAACTTTTCATTGGTCTGTGCCCAGTTGTGATATAGTACCATATTTCGTCAGCAAACTATGTCAAATAATTTCTACATTTAAGGAGAGAAGAAATTGGAAAAGATATAAAGCAGGTCATTTTGTTCTCTTCTCCCTTGTTTCTTACCATTTGAATGTTGTGAATTAAAAATTTAGTGCATTATTTTATTATTCAATCACCCTTTGAAATATAGTTATATTAAGAAGAGCCACAGAACTCAAAAGAACCTAGAGTAGATAGAATTTAGATATTGACAAGGATGCTGGATTTCAACAATGTCTTTTCATGTCTTAACTTGGGATCTTCATTTCTAATTCGATCTTGCTTTTAAACAAATCACAAACACTTAAAACGTAGTAGTGGCAGTTTTCTACATCGGCTTTGTTAAAAACAAAAGGACTTTCGTTTCAGTATGCACGAAGCTATTATAAAGCATTTGTTTATCATTTAAGGTTGTGTTGCGATTTACTTTTGTATCGCAGAGATTGCAATGTAGCTTTTCATCTTGGGTTCAGAAAAGCCCAAGTAAACTTGAAATATTGATTTAGTTTCTATAGACGGGAAAACTTGTTGAGAAATCAAAGCAAACTTGTCTATGTACTGTGATTTAAGTGACTAACACGTGGTCCTAGACTTGTACTCTATGATTTTCCCAAAATTTTAGCTGACTTCGGACTGGAGAAGTCCAGTCTTTTAACTATAAATTTCTTAGAGGGACATAATGACAGTAATTTTTCACACATGCAGCATGTTTAATATTGTTCATGCCTCACAACTATAGAGCCAGTATTTTTAATGACTTCCTTCTAGTTCTGCTGGATGTGCCTCAACTAAATCTATTTTTTTTTCTACTTTTACTGTAAACAGCTTCTCCATTCCATTTCCCTCTAATCTAGGTTCTCTTACAAAATGAGAATCCCAATGTAATTAAATCTGTTTCTAAAAGACCACTTTTTGCCTTAAATATTGTTACAATCAGCTGGTGAGGAGCTGATTTCCCCCCTATTTTATAACCCAGACTTGGCCAATTGTAACAAATATTCTTTTCTTTTTTAAAATCACACATCTACAACAGCATAGTTAAAAAGTAGTTTTAAGGAGACAATTACTTAGACTTCCTTGAAAGAAAAAATGAATAATAATAATAATTTTATTACCTAACAACTCAGAAGAAAATAATGAAAGTGGCATTAAACACAGTTAATAAACTTAAAAAGGGAAGAAGGCCGGAGAAGTCCAGTCTTTTAACTATAAATTTCTTAGAGGGACATAATG